CTTCCCAACATTTCCCAGACAGGACTGGGAGCTTTCTGTACTAAAGACTTCTCAGAGCTGAAAGCCTGAATAGGAGACATTTCAATGGGCATTCCTCAAACTCCTGAAGGGATAAGGATCAGTCAGGATAAGGAATAACCCCAAAGCTGCCACAGCAGTTTGAGGTTTTGAGCAAAGTGGGGACTTGAATCTTGAGGTGCCAGAACTGCACCAAGTGTAAAAACAAAATAATCCCTGGATTTTGGAAGGAAACCAGTTTAAACACTGGCTTGATACTCAAACCCAAGCACAGGGTGGGTCATTCTGTCTACACCACACCCTTCCTATTTAAAAACAACTAATAATCCAATTAAGTATCAAGACATTGATACTTATTTCCTTTTTTTTTTTTTGCCCTGTTTCCTTCCCCAGCTCTGATTTTTCCCACAGGCCTGGCAACGTTTCGGGCTCCCAAGGAACCCAGGGGGTGGATGAATTTTTCATTGTGCTTTTCCCATCCCAGACCATTCTCTCCTGGATTAGGACTGTGTCTGCATTAACCTTTCAGCCAGGACCCTGTGCTGGTCCCTCCTGAGCCCCAGAGATGCCATCCTGCAGGTGCTCCTGTCTCCTCAGCAACAAGAGGAGGAAAAAACTTCCTGCCCGTTGTTCTCAACATCATTTCCTCATAATCATCCCCTTGGAGGAATAATCCAATCCCATTTTGTTGCATTACCTGGCAAAACCCATAAAGGTCAAAGAAAAATACGGTGCCAGGGAGGGTTTAAATTACTTTCTCCAAGGATATATCCATTTATCTCCTCCCAGGGCACTCCAGACTCTGCTTTGGCCATCCTGGGTGTCCTGAAGTAACTGCAGAAAGGTTTTAATCAAATGGCTGAATATGTAAAGACAACCTTCTTTCCAAGGGGTGTGACTGTTTGAAGAAGATCTGAGCTGCTGTAATTGTTAGAGGAGAAACACAAAGCCAACATCCTTCTCCAGGGCTTTTAATGAGGCTCTGCTGGTTTAATTGGCAACTGCTGTTGCATTATTTCTCCTTGCAAATAACCCAGGTTACCCAGCTCCTTGGAAAAGTTCTGTAATTTCTGAGGCTGCAACTACCAGCACACAGGACTCTATTAAATAAAAAAAACCCAGCAGTGGAAAATACAAACTCATCCAAGCTTGGCAAGGAATTGCTAAAACTCCTGCCTTAATCCCACTGTGCCACACGGAGTTTTGTACAATTAGCACTGCTGGCAAGAGGGGGGGGAGCTTGAGAAAGTGGCTTTTGAGGAGCAGAAAAGAGATTTCCATAATTTAGAGTTTAACAGCCTCAGCCTGTGCTTTCTTTTTTGCTCACAGTCCCCCTTCAAAGCACAGACTGGTGCTGAGTGTGTAACTCCCCTGCAAAGGGCAACCTGTGGGAGGTTCCTATTGGAATTTTGCCCCCAGGAGAATCCATTTCAGATGCTAAAGCTACCCCTGGAATAACCACAACATCCTGAGAGGATGAAGAATCCACTTCTTTCATAAAATCAGTGCTGTCCAAAATCACCTGTAAAAGTCCTGCTGAACTCTGCTCCACACATTATCCAAGAGGAATTAGAGCTACAGCACAAGAAAAACATCTTTTCTATCAGCAAATGAAAGTTTTTTTACTCAGCCTGAATTCAGCTGGGGGTAATTCTGCCTTTTTTAGCTTTTTTTTACCTGACCTTTCCTTGTTCCTTCTCCCCCCACATTACCAATAATGGGAGATCAGAGACATCGTTGTAGGTGTGACACAGTTTGTCCCTAATGAGTGGAGTTTTCCTTTTTCTAATGCACTGGATTAAATTATTTGTTGGAATCGGGGAGGAAAGCCTGTGATTCTGCCTTAAATTGCATCAAGGTTTGTATGTAGGCATTGGAGAGCTCAGGATAACCAGTGCAGACAGAGAAAGGAAGGAGCTGCTGGTTTGGATTTCCCTGGCTGTGCAGTGGAAGCTGATCTGTGAACAGCAGTGATTCACAAAGCCTGGGCAGTGACATCCTTGGGACAGATTGACCAGTTGCCACCAGAAGAAAAAAAAAGACAAACCAAAAAAAAAAAAAATCCAAAAAACTACTATTATTCTTTCTGTAACAGCTGGGAACAAAAAGCAAATGCTTCAGAATAACAACAGCCAGAAATCAGATGTCAAAAATCATCCAGTTGTCTTAAAACAAGGCCACGTGTCGTGAGATGTGTCCCTGCCTTCCTCAGTGCTCCTCAACACCAAGGCTTTGGTTGCTCTTCCTTCCCAGGCCTTGCTCAGCCCCCATCCTGCTTTCCTTTGAGACAGGAGTAATTGTGACAAAATATTCTAATGGCTCTCTCGGGGCAGGCTTTCAAAAGACCTGGATTGCCTTATTAAAGAGGTCCTTAGGAAACAGCAGTCAGATCAGAATCATTACATTTTAATGTCTTCGAAATCATATGGAAAAGACAAAGCCCTTCCCGGGGTGATTTATGCCTTTGAGTTGCTCCTCCAGAGCGAGCAGCAGCTGGGGAGCCCGTGTAGACTAAACACAGTGACACTAAAATCTTCATTGTTTACAAAGCCAGTGCCAGGGTACAGAGAGAAAGGAGTTCCAGCCAGAGCTGTCACTCAGCTGCCACATCATCCCGGCCCCTGTGCAGTGCTGGGCCTCAAACCCCAAAAATCCACCCTGCACTCAGTCCCTGCTGCAGCTCCATCGCCCAGAGAGGAATCCTGAATGTCCTGCTAAGGAACTACACACATCAAAATGTGTGTAAAAATTCCCTCCTGATGCTCTGGAGGGAATGGGAATCTACCTCCTGAAAACTGGGAAGCCCCAAGTGTTTCTCTGAGTGAGAGCTGGGTGATGCTGCTTCCCACCACAGTCAGCAGCAGTTCATGTCTGCTGAGACAAACCTGCTCAGAGTTCCCAGATAGAATGGAATATTTCCTGGGGTTTGCCTTTCTACAGATCCATGACATTTATTTCTCATTTAGCCAAGAGCACAGGCAGGAGCTGGGAGCTGTTTGTACCCATTTAAGTCAATCCTATGCCCTGAAGTGATCTGAGCACCTCCCCGACCTCGGCTCAGTTGGGTTGAGCTCGAGCAGTTCCCCTGACACCTGGAAGGATATAAAGCCCATTACAATCACAACTGGTTCTCACTTGAGCAGTAATGAGAGAGAAAAGACCTAAAAGTCCCTTGCTGGCTTTGGGAATGAGATTCCAAACATGGCAGAAGAAGGTGCAGGATTATAAATGTACAACCCTGGTGGGGAAGGGACAGAGAGTAACAACCACAGACACCCCTTGGGAATGGGCAGAGAGAACAACCAGACACCTCTTCCTCGAGGCAACAGCTCTCTGAGAGTGCCTGGAGCACTGACCTTACTCCTGCCCCCAATTTAACCAGGGAAAGAGGATTTGGCACAACTCAGTGCCCAGTGGCAACCTGGAATTTTGCTCCAGAGAGGAGATTTAGGATGTGGGAAAGGCAGTGGGAGCAAAACCGCCAGGACAAACTGCTGCAGTTTGATTTCCTGGGGGAAATCCCATACAAAGAGGGGAAAAGGGACACAGGAATAGGGTGGCTGTGCAGGATTACACAAGGATGGGATCGTGGCAGTAGAGGATCAGGTGCCTTTTAGCTCTGCATTCCTAAGGGGAACTAAACAACCACCATCCTCCCGTTGCCTTTTCTAGGATTCAACCATTCCCCCTCTGTCTCTGCTCTTCCCAACCTTCTCTGACCGTGTTTATCACACAAGCTGCTCATTTATCAGCACCCCCAACACCCCAAACCTTCCCCTGGACAGAGAAATGGGCTGTACAGGGATAAGGCACCGAGGGAGGAGAGGGGGGATCAGCACTTCCCAATCCCACTGGTGTTCCTGCTGGTTCCTTGCTGGACTGGGGGAAGGAGGTGGAGCACCTCTCAGCAGAGCAGCCCAACACTCTGGAGGTCTCTGGGGCTGCCCCAGAGCTGAGCACAGCTTACCCTGCACATTTCCTGCTTTATTTGGGACAACTGCCTGCGTTGTAGCCAAGATTTCCCTGGGATAACCAGTGCAGGGTCTGCACAGGTGACAGTGGAATCTCTCAGTGCCCTGCTCCAGAACTCGGGAACAGCTCGTCCTTCACACAAGAGTCCAGTTCTCTTCCCCTGTTTTGTCATTTCTGCCCATTTGTTCTTGTTCTTTCTCTCTCTTTTCAAAGCAAAATGAGGTGTTTGTAAGAAGCCTTTTTCTGGACAGGGATTCATTCCCAGGCCTCATTATTCTGAGACTTGTCTTTGTATTATTCTTCCAACTTCTCCCCTACAGCATCTTAAAACCACACAACTCTTTATCATCTCCTATAAAACCTCTCTGCTTAAGACACCCCCATAAACTCTGATCCCTCAAGACCAGGGAGGGCTGTGGTACCAAATATCCCAAATCCCAACTATTCATCCGAATTTAGAGGAAAATGTATTTATGTTGTATTTCTGTGATTTATTTCCTCCCCCTAATTGAGCAACTCCAGCCTTTGCCCAGGGCACTCATAAAAGAAATCAGATTACAGCAGAAGTGCTGAAGAGTTTAGAGCAGGGGGTCAAGTGGCATCCAGGGTTTTTTTTTTTTTCCTGATTTATTTTAGTCAGCTAAGTGTAGAAAATTTGTCCTGAACAGATACTAAGCTCGACTTACTGAAGAATTATGAGGTCAGAAATGCTCTTCTAAGCAACAAAAAACATAAATACCATGAGATTCAGCAGGAATTGTAAGGAAAACTACAGGATGAGCTCCTCTGCATGAGGGAAATCAACCCGAGGTTCCTGAGGGAGCAAAAATGAGCGGCCAAATCCAGGGAAGCGCTTCCTCTGCACCTCCTCCCTGCTCCCAGTGGCTAAATCCCACACTAAAATCCACACTTTTCATGAATGGAGAAAGCAAAACAGCTGCCAGAGGCTGTAACTCCAAGGCAGAGGTGAGAAAATCCCAACAAAATCCCAACATCCCAAATGCTCTTACTTTTGACAGTAGCGGTCCGGGTGCAGTTGTAGAGGATGGCCAGCTCCCCAAAAACCTTGCCAGGCCCCATGGTGCACAGCTTCACTCCTTCCTTTGTCACTTCAACCTTCCCATCTGTGAGAGAAAGAAAAGAGGGAAAAAAAAAAAAAGTTTTAAAAAGGAAATGAAATTTCAGACTCAAGTTTTTTAAATATTATTTGCTTCAGGCCGGGCTGGACGGGGCTTGGAGAGACCTGGGATAGTGGGAGGTGTCCCTGTCCCTGGATGGGCTTTAAGGTCCCTTCCAGCCCAGTGAGTAAAACCACCTTGAAAAGGAATTTAAAAGATTCAAACCAACTGTTGCCTGGAGAAGATTTCGACACGTGAGGGGTTTTTTAGGGGAGCATCTGTACAGTGAGGAAATGCAGAGCACTAAGCCTCAAATTTCACATATTGCGCTTCCAGGGGAAATTTCCCCCAATTTCTGTGCTCAAAAAGGGCAAAAATTTAGGTCTTTAACACCCCACACAAAAACCACAGAGTAATTTTGCTCATTTTCACTGAGAAGCTAATCCCTGGGAACGCTCATCCATGAAAAACAGGCTGCTATCAAAGGGAAAATGACTCTGACCCCTGGCCATCATTGAATTCCCATCTCCCTGGACCTTTCCCTCCTGAACATCTCATTTTATGAGAGGGAATCTGCTTTATCAGCTTATCCAGAGACCTGGGAGGGGGACTTAAAAGCGAGGGCTGAATGGCAAGAAAGGAGCTCAGGACCAAGCTGGGGGTTGGGAGTGACCAATCTTTTAAATTTCCAAGGACCTTTGAAAACAAGGAGAAGGGAAAAACAAGTGATGCAGCAGAGGACACACAATAAAACCCCAATTCCATTCCTTTTATAGGCTAAATACCCTTTAAAAGTAATTTTCCAAATTTTGATTCCTTTCTCCCTACTCAGTATCAACCTAATAAGAAGCACAAAAATAGATCTTTATCTCAAGGAGGCCCAACACCAACCTCTAATGGTGCCTCACCCACTTCAGAGACTCCTAAAGGTTTTTAAAGGATACCTTTATTTATTTTTTAAAAGAACTGAGTTCTTCAGCAGAGCTGAAAGGGGGATATTTCTGCAAAACACTCCCCAACAAACACTCCCATCAGGGAATGACTTTCCCTCACTTTGAGCTCGTGGAGTGATGGAGATTTGAGCTGGAAAGCACCACGTTGCACAGATGATTTTTTACCCCATACTGCATCAGCCATTCCCCCCCCCCCCCCCAGTGTGCAGGAAACATAGCAGGGAGGAAATTAAAATACCAATTTCCAAAGGACTGAGAAGATTTCCCAGCAAGAAATTGTGGGTATTGGCAAGAGCGGGTAAAATGATGCTCTAAAAAAAAAACAAAGCCAAAGTCATTTCACTCGGAAAAGAGGGGATCAGCTTCCAAAAGGAAGGAGTTATTTAGATTTGAAGGCAATTATCCCACCCACTGTCACCTCTGTGCCTCAAGCAGCAGCTACGGAGTTAAGCAGAAAACTGGGAGCTTCAGGAAACACTTGGAAAACCACAAACTGCTCCAATTCAATCTGGTTTGTGTTTCACAGCAAACCCCAAAAGCTGATGATGGTTCCAATGCCCCATGAGCCAGGACAGGGCTGGGCTTGGAAACAAGGACAGAAGCCTTGACCTTGCCTTGGTTTATAGTCTGAGATCTCCTGGCATGTGATTGAACCATGGACACACACAAACCAGCTGGGACACAGGCCAGGCTTTGGGATCTCATCCCTTTGTGGAGTTCAAACCACCTTTTCCCCCCTTTTCCACGACTTCTGGTAGCCCTGTGTCCCTAAAGCAGTATTTTCATTCACATGGACTGTAAAATCTTCTTTTCTTTTCCAATCATCCCTGAAATACTCAGCCCCACTGCAACTTTCCAGCAAATGGCTCTTTAGGATCCCAACCTCTGGCTTTAATCATCATTTAACCCTTTACCTCCTAAAAGTAACCAAACCAGCTCCAAACTTGTGCAGATCATCCTAATGATGACCCCAAGCTCTGGAGCCAGGCTGGGAGAGCTGGGGGGGTTCACCTGGAGAAGAGAAGGATCCAGGGAGAGCTGAGAGCCCCTTCCAGGGCCTAAAGGGGCTCCAGGAGAGCTGGAGAGGGACTGGGGACAAGGGATGGAGGGACAGGACAAGGGGGAATGGCTTCCCACTGCCAGAGGGTAGGGTTAGATGGGATAGTGGGAAGGAATTGTTCCCTGGGAGGGTGGGGAGGAACTGGTCCAGATTGCCCAGAGAAGCTGTGGCTCTCCTGGATCCCTGGAAGTGTCCAAGGCCAGGCTGGAATCCCTGGGCTAGTGTAAGGTGTCCCTGCCTGTGGCAGGGGGTGGAATGAGATCATCTTTAAGGTCCCTTCTAACCCAAACCATTCCAGTGAATGCAACCTCTGTTCCTGCAGAGCATCAGTGGAGCTCCTGCTCTGGACCCACAGCCTCCCCCAGGGACAGGCAGGAACCCCTGCAGGAACACAGGGGATGCCTCAGCACCGTGGCATTTGGGTTTTACCAGGGACTGTCCCCACAGGGTTCCCTGGAAGGACACTCTGCTCCAGCCCTGCAGCCTCTGGGCACAGCTGGACACAGTCCTGGGAGACCTTCAGGAATGAAGTGCCCAGCCTGGGAGAGGGTCAGAGCACAGCGAGCCCCTTGACAACCCTAACAACCACAAGGCTGGTGGTGTTTGCTGGCTCTGAGCCACCCCTGCTGCTCCTCCTGCCCTTTCCCAAAGTGCTTTTCCAGAGCTTTTCCTCCTCAAACACCGTGTTCTTCTACCAATCCCAGAGCAGTCCAGCAGGGACTTCATTACCAAAGAGCTGCTGCAGGAGAGAACAGATCCCTTGGTTCAGAGCACAGGAAGGAGAGGTCGACCAGGACAGCAGCCTGAGGAAGGCTGGAATTGAGAGGAGAAGGAATCCAATCCTTGACACCAGAGCAGGAGGAGGCTGCCCCTCCCTCCCTGGGGTTCAGTAATAAATGTGCTCCTTAATTACCATTTATTGTCCTGGAGAAAGTCTCCCATTCTCCTGCCGGGTAATTAAGCAATGTGGGACACTAAACACCCACAGTTACTCCTCAGGCCATGAGCAAAATTTTGTGGAATTAAAGGGTCAAACACAGTGATAAAAAGGAATTTCCCCATTTTCTCTTCCTCCCTGGCAGCCCACACAGAGCAGTTTTCCATGCAGGAGACAAACTGCTCCCTTGGATGGATCAAGCAAGTAAAGAAACCAAGCAAAATGGTTTTGATCACAATATGGATCAGTTAATGGAGATCCAGTTGCAACTTGCCTTGGCATCTCCACCAGATAAACACTAAATAATGCAAGGGATGCTCCAGGCAAGAAGAGTGAAAATGTTGCATTTCTCCAAAATATTGAATTCAAAGTTGTTATTTAATTCCCTGCTGAGCTGATTTTGGGGAGCTTTAACTGGCATCCAAACAATGCACTTTTCTGTCAGCTGTAAGAAACTATTCCATCATGATGGACAATGCAAGTGATTTTTCAAATAGAGCATGAAATAAAATAAAAATCTCCGTGTCTTCTCGAGCATGGAGGGCTCAGGAAAGTCCTGGCAGCTGGATTTTGGGGGCTGTCCTTTGCATTCCCCTCAAGTGCCTCCTGATCTCCACTCTCACATGGATAAAACACACCCTGACACTCCCTGAAGGCCCTGCAGTGAAAGGGGCTTTGCTGCATCAAACAGCCAAGGCAAGTTTTAGGATCAGTTCTGCACTTCCCTTTCCACAACAAACACAAGAAGGTGCCCAGAGTGAAGGATCAGCAGATCGACACCTCCAGAAGCCACCAGCCTGCTCCTGATGGGAATATCTGCCACAAACCACTTCAACCAGGAAAACCCAAAGCATTTTGTGTTTGGACACTCAAAAGTCTCAATTCTGTGGTACAGGAGGAGAGCAGTGCTTGGACAGGAGGGGGTGTGTTATCCTCCAAGGACCAGGGTGCCGAGGGCAGCTCAGGAGAGCTCTGGAGCTCTGCTGGTGCAGTTTTATTCACGTGGCTTTTGGATGGTAAATCAAGGCAGCCTGAAAAGCAGGCAGTTTGCAAACCCAAAGAATCCCAGAATCACACAATGCTTTGGGTTGGAAGGGACCTTAAAGCTCAGCCAGTTCCAACCCCAACACCTTCCACTAGCCCAGGTTGCTCCAACCTGGCCTTGGACACTTCCAGGGATCCAGGGGCAGCCACAGCTTCTCCGGGCAACCTGTGCCAGGGTCTCACCTCACCTTGTTGCTTTGTAGGATTTCAGAGATGCACTAAAACTGCATGAAATTAAGCTTTTTCCTAGTCCTAGGAGGGGGACTTTGATGATCCTTGTGGGCCCCCTCCAGCCCCAGATATTCCATGATCCTGTGAAACCCGAGACTGAAGAGCTTTCCCGTGCTGGCCTGGTCCCCCCACGCCACCCCCAAGCCCTGGGACTCTCAGCCAGAGCCTGGCTTTGCAAATTAAACTCAGCTTGCTAATTGCATTGTAGTTGCAAATGTAACTGTGAGGTAATTAAAGGTTTAATTGCCAAGTGGCTCGTTGACACCAGAGCCCCCCCAGCTGAGATTTGTTATATTTTTGTTTGTCAGAAAACACAATCTGATCATGGGTTGGAAGGAACCTTCAGGATCATCCTGTTTCACGGGCAGGGACACCTTCCCCTATCCCAGACTGCTCCAACCTGGCCCTGGACACTTCCAGGGATGGGGCAGCCCTGGGCACGCTGTGCCTGTACCAGTTCCTGCACAACCCCTCAGGAGCCAGAGTTAAAAACGGGGTCACTGTGACCACAGAAATAATAAATGAATCAATAAACCTACAGCTGGCTGAGGCACATCTGAGCAAAGCAGGATCTGTTCTGTCCTGTCCAACACCCCCAAAGCCTGGGGTTTACCCGGACAAGGACATTTGCTGCTGTGTCACTTGGAGCCCACACAATTAAACCTGAAATGACATCTCTGCCTGAGCTTCTCCCACGTTCCTCAGACGAATGGAAGCACAAAGGAAATTGCACTAATGCGACTCTCTCCATCAGTGGGATCATTTTTAACTCCCAATAATT